AGGCGCACACGGCCGATGGCATCTCCATCCGCTTCCCTCGCTGCACCCGAATCCGGGACGATAAGGACTGGAAATCTGCCACTAACCTCCCCCAACTCAAGGTGCCAGCTGCCTGTCTCCTCGACCCCACTGTCCCAGCTGTCCACGGGTCCTGTATTCTCCATCCCCCATTCCACTGAGACAGGGTGGGGGGGGGACAGGGAGGGAGACTGGACTGCCGCCGGCCGGCCGGGAGCAGCCGCCGAGGGCTGGGCCCCGGGCACCGCCTATGCCATTGCCCGAGGAAACGGCGCCAAGGAAGCCGGCCTCTTCCTTCGTCTTCCGTCCCTTTTTGCTCCCCAGCCACATGTGCGCAAAACAGAGTGCACAGACCGCCTCTGAGGCCAGGGGCTGGGAGGGTACGACCCCACCTGCCGTTCCCCGCCCCCGCCCCCGCAGGAGCTGTACCAGCTGTCCAAGGAGAGGGCGGACTTCACCGTGGTGGCCGCGGACGAGGGGAGCTCCCCCGCGGGGGGCAGCAGCGGGGAGAACGAGGGGGCCTCGGGGCCGTCCCAGAAGGCCAGAGCCTCCCCGGAGCAGCCCCCCACCAGTGCCAAGAAGGCCCGGGGGAAGCTGCGTCACTCTGGCAGCGGAGGCGGTAAGGAGAGGGGGCGCTGGGGTGGCGGGCGCGGTGTGGGGGGAGGCTCCCGCTCCAGCACGCAGCCGACAGTGACCACGTTCCGGCTGTGTGTCCAGCCGCGGGCCAGAAGCCGTTCTGTTGGACACCCTCCCCGCGCTCAGTAGACCTGATGCCAGGGCCCAGGACAGCCCATCGGGCCCGGGGATCAGCTGCCTCTGAGCACTGCTCCTCCCCGCGCACACTGCAGGGCGAGGCCTGGCCCTCTGCTGCCCCACCCCCGGGGCCAGTGTCGGCTCCCCGCCCCCTCGGTTCTCATCCCGACCTCTCCCTGCAGGCCACACGCCGATTGCAGAGCCTTCCCCTGTGAGAGGGGCGGAGAGGCCGGGCGTGAAGACTCCTGTGAAGGTGGGGGAGAAGCGCAAGGCCTCTGACGAGACCCCGTGCCCGGCAAAAGTGAGGAGGGTAAGGATGGGCGTGCCCCCGGGGGCGGCTCGGCCTCATGTTTCCGACACTCTGCACTTGAACACCGAGAGCTGGGCGAGGGTGTTTGGGGGGCCAAGGGCCACGCCCCCGCCGTCCTGCAGCTGTTGTCCCCCCCCCATGCCCTCTGGTTGCCTTGCAGAGGCGGAGGGCCAGCGAGCAGACTGGACGGAGAGCCGAGTCTGCAGGCAGGAGGTAGCCAGCCAGCCTAGCGGGGAGAGGCTGCAGGGGCCCGCCAAACTGCCGGCCCCCAGGCACAGTTCACATTAAAGGGGAGAAGGCCCGGTCTGGTGTGGGTGTGTGGCAGCGAGTTCCTGCTCGGGGCGGGGCGGGGCCGCCGGCCAGGACGGGGAGGGTGCCGACTGGCTTGGTGACTGTCTGTCCCCTCACCTGAGAAGCCCTTTCCCTCCTGGACTCCCTTGTCAGTCTTTGACTAAAGCCACTAGTCCTGGGGGAGCTGGCGGCCAAGAGCAGACAGACAAGTAAACACCAGGTCACTAGGGAGTGTGGTCAGGCCACCCCACACCCTTGCCAGCCCAGAGTAAGCAGAGGCCTTGCAGCTCAGGCCCTGACTGCCCCGCCGTCCCAGCTGACCTGTAGAACTTTCACTGTCTCTCCCTGCCTGGAGCCCTCGGGTCCCTCCACAGTAACAGGCTGCGCCCCTGACCCCCCACTCTGTGTGCAAGTGGCTGCCTGACTGAGCAGCATCCCTGCCTGCCAGCCCCCGACTGGTTCTTGGAGAGACCCTCTCCCCTTGCCCGGGCCCCCAGGGCTGGGACCATCCCCTCTCCCTCTCCTCCGGGCAGGGATCCGAGTGTGGGTCCTGCACACTCTGAAGGAGCTGGAGGATTGGGGGCGGGAGGGGCGCATGATTAAGCCTGTGCCTTCTCTCCAGTAAACTCCGCTCATGTCCCGACTGCCAGCCGGACCCCGTGTGTCCGGCAGTTGTCCCAGCCCTGCTCTCTGGCCTGTGCTCGTCAGCCGGGAGACCGCCCCCTGCCCCCAGACTGAGTCGGCCCCACTCCTGACCCCACCCTGACCCTGTGCTTCGCAGGTGCTGCTGGACATCTTCACCGGGGTGCGGCTCTACCTGCCGCCCTCCACACCCGACTTCAGCCGTCTCAGACGCTACTTTGTGGCATTTGATGGGGACCTGGTACAGGAATTTGACGTGGCCTCGGCCACACACGTGCTGGGCAGCGGGGACAAGAACCCTGAGGCCCAGCAGGTCTCCCCAGAGTGGATTTGGGCTTGTATCCGGAAACGGAGACTGGTCGCTCCCTGCTAGGGCCGCTGTCTCCCCTCCCCCACCGCGGGCTGGGCTGCGTCTATGGTCTATGGCTGGGGCAGAGGACCGGGTGGGGACGGAATCTCTCCTCCAAGCGGTGTCTTCCAAACCCCCCGCCACGCACGGTCTCTCCCCGCCAGGGCCCGGTGCTCTGTTCCGCCAGAGAAGCCCTCTCTCCTGCTGCTTGTATGGATCTTTTGGATCTGGGTGCTGGTTTGTCATCATCTGTTTTCTTTAAAAAGAAGCTTTTATTCCTTTTCTAAATAAAATACCTGCAATTACCTTTGTCCCATCCCCCCCACCCCCAATAATGATTAAGGAGCCACCCCCCTCCCCTGCAATGACTAAGGAGCCGGGCGAGGGCTGCGGTGTACTGAGGATCTGTCCCCAGAGCCAGGCCCCGCGATGGCCGGCCCGCCCGCCCTGCTCGCCTGCCCCCCGACGTGCAGGCCCGTGTTAAAGCCGGACTTCGGAGCCGGCCCTCAGAACGCTGCTGGTGTTTGGCAAACCTGTGCTCGGCCCAGCCCTTCTCGCGGGAGTGGAGCTGCACGTGAGAACACAGGATGCGCTGTACGATGCCGCCACCCGTGCTGCCCTGTGCCCGGGGCGGGTCTGCTCGGAGGGGGGCAGGCCCGGTCGGCTGGACAAGTGGGGCCCGTGGCTGTCGGGGCCATGCGAGGCTCCCCAGAGGATCCGCCTCCCCAGAACCCTGGAAATAAGACTGCGGACAAATGTAGTCTGCTTACAAAGAGAGCCGCCTTCCTTTGCCACCCAAGGCTGATTTACTTGAATAAAAAGAGAACAATGTAGTGCAGACGAGTGCTGTTCGGTAGAACTTTGTGCGTCAAGGGAAGTAGCCGGTACGCCTCCTGGCACAAGCTGGCCGCGCCGGGCTGCTGAGCATCTGGAACGGGGCTCACGGCCGAGCTGTCGTGCGCGACCAGGCCACCGCACCGCGTGGGGCACGCAGAGACGGGGCGGTGCGAAGCCAGTCCTGAGACTTGAACGGCTCGACCTTACACGAGTCACCAGCTAGGCCTCTGTGCCTCCGAAGGGGATGGGGACGGGGACGGACCGCGCCTGAATTTCAGGGTGGCTGTGAAGCTTAAATGGGCTCACGGGAGGTCCTGCCCAGCACCTGGCGCTGCCCAGCAGAGCCGGGAAGTCCAGTGGCGGCGCGTTCGGACGCTGCCCCGGGGAGAGGCCTGGCCTCTCCCCACGACTCCTGTCGGGCCAGTCCCCCGGCCTCCGGCGGCTGTGCCGGCTCACGCCGGCCGGACACGGGCTCTCCAGGAGGCGGCCTTGTCAGACGCTGGCTCCCACGTCCTCAGGCCTGCTGGCTCCTGGAGGTCAGTTCTGTTTTCTTAACGCACTGGCAGGCTGGGAGTCAGGTGAAGGCGACTCGGCGTCTGGGCCTCCAGGACCGAGGACCACCGCCTCCCTCCCTCCCGCCAGCCCTCCCCTGGCGTGCTCAACCCAGGCAGTCGGCTCCGCCAGGAAGCTGCTTCCGGCGAACTGGAGGCCAGCTTCAGCCTGCCTGACCTGGGCTTCCACCTGCAGGTTCCAATGTGTGGGGAGGGAGGGGGAAGGGGGAGGTGCAGGGGGAGGAGCTGCCCCGTGCCTAGCTCAGAACACTGGGTGGTTCTGAATGGGCACCGTTCAGTCTGGCTCCAGTACCGAGAACAATACACCTTTTCTATCCCGTTGTCAACGGAGACGAGAGCTGCCCCACTGAGCACTGACCTACATAAGGTTCCTCCCCTTCTCCAGCCTCCCCAGGGCACGCAACCAGACAGAACGGCAGGACACGGCTCCCCCTCGATGCTCTGCCAAAGGACACCGATGCTGTGTCCTGCCCCCCACGGACCCCGCCCCACATCCCCTCACGGGGCATGCCCACTCCAGGAGCAGCCTCCCATCCCCCCGTTCAAGGTGTTCTGCCTGCTCCCTTCCAGTCTCTCTGCCACGAGATTTTCCTGGCTGCTGAGATGGTGCCATCGGCACAACTGTACCCTTCGGTGCACTTCCACAGAACTCGAGCTTTCATTGAGCCGTTGCTCGGTGGCAGACGGAGGTCATGCTGGGTGCTCGGTGGGTCTGTGGCCCAGAACGGGGAGGACAAAGGCTGCGGCCCAGCCTCGAGCCTGCATGCCCTTCGGACGAGTCTGTCTCCGCAGGCGGAGGGCGGACCTGCACGCACTCCAGCTCTCCCAACGGCTGCCACCGGGGCCGCTCCACGGGAGGTGCCCACACAGCAGCTGGCCACGGGCTGGGCTGGCCTCCGAGTCCCACTCTGGCCACCGCAGCTGTACCCAAAGCCACCGCTCCTCTCTCAGGGCCACTGGCTCCCCTCCACGCCCATCCTGGAGGCCCACCCCTCACCGGATCGCCCTCAGTGTCCGAACTCCATGCTCCCTCCTACGCGGTCTCCCAGTGAGTCCTCCCACCCGGCTCCCACCCTCGCCCAGGCTGCCCCTGGCCTCTCCCGCGCACCGGCGGGACCCTAAACAGGCCTCAGCACTCAGGTCCCGCCTCCTCCTCTGTCGGACAGGGCCGTCCCGACCGGAGCCCCACAGGACGCGGCCCGAGTGTCCCCCAAAACAACGCCATCTCTCCAGAGCACAGCTGTGCGCGCACACGCCTGGGGCCAACAGGCGGCGGGACGGCTCCTGTCGGTCTCGACCGTCAGGCCTCCGGCAGCCTTGTGCTGCACCAGACGGGCGTCTGCACAGAAACTTTATTACAAAATTATAAAGCAGGGCTGTGTGACAAAAAAATACACATCTGGGCTTGTTTCAACACCCACGTCTGAGAATCAGTATAAGCCACTTGTAGTTAACACATTCACATCCAAAAAATTGCAATGGATTTGTACAATACAGATGGAGCCCTAACACCTGTACAGCTAGTTCTCGCTGGTTCGGGCCCACGTATCCCAACGTCGTGAAACAGCCAGCTCTCCATGCCTTGTTACAAAAGGTCTCAGCTGAGGTTTCTGAACAGTCACGGCAAAAGCCAAGGAATACTTGGAGGAATTAGATGCTTCCATGATAATAAAGGCAGGGTCCATGAGGGGCAGGAAGGAGCATTCATGGATAAAAATCAAGTTTTCTACCTAGGCCAGATAGTAACCGAAATGAGATCTTGGAATTTCCGACTTCTTTTTTGGTGTAATGAAGATACCAAAAAACAAAAAAAACAAAACAAAAAAACCCACACCATGGTTGCTAGACACCTTTTTTCTTAAATGAAAACCTTCACCAAGAGGTTGGAGGACCTAAAGGCAAGTTCTTTCTCCAACATGAGTAAACGCTATTGGTTCTAAGTCCTCCCGAGGTTGCTAACCAGCCATTAGGGTGTGACTTCTGACTCAGGTCTGGGAGGGAAACGGGGAAGCAGGGGGAGGTAAGGCCTCCGCAGAGAAAGCAAATCTAAAGTGGGAAGAGAGCCGGCTTCCGCCCCGACGTTATGGCTGGACCTCGCCCAGGTGCACACGCACAGGCCTGCTTCCCGGGGGGACCTGTGGGGCAGCTGGACCCCTGCTAACCCGGGGGGCCCTGTCCACTATAGCGTTTACTGCTGTCAGGAAAATGTCTTCACGGGGAATCGCGATTCTCCCCGTTCCTACAAACGACTCAAACCCTCCAGGACTGGGCATGGATGGTGTCGCGGGAAGCGGCCGGGTGTTGGGCTGACAACTACCTACCTGACGGAACTCGGTCCCCCCAAAGGGAGACCCGGACCCGAGGCTGGAGGGAAGGCACGAACACGTCTGCACACACGTCCCCTCGGAGGCTTCCCCACCGCCTCCCGGAGTCATGACCGGTTCTCTTGGCTGCACGGGTGGGGGGTGGGGGCGGGGTCCTGCCAAGGCCGCCTGGTGTGTAGGGGCTGCCTAGTTCGCCCACGGGTACCGGCAGTGCGCACGGCTCCCCGACGGCACATACACTTGTGCCTGGTGCCGCAGCAAACTGTCCTCTAGCCCCCCGCTCTCCCGCTGGTGCGAAGGTCCAAACGGGCCCCGGAACACGCCCTGCTCACGGTCCGATCCTCCCTGAAGAGCCCGGAGGGTGCGCCCTCCTCACCCAGCCCCAAATCAGCAGGCCGGGAGAGAGCAGCCCCCGCCAACCCAGGGGATGAGACTTCCAGCCGCCTGCTCAAGGGCTGGGACCACCTCCTCATTCAGCACTTCTGACGCGTCTTAGGTGCGGTGCGCCCCTCACACGTCTGGTCTCCGGGAACCCAGGAGTCTGGCTGGAGGAGAGCTGGGTTCTTTGCCTAATTCCTAGGCCCTGAGGGAGACGACGTCTAAACCCCCACGGGAAAGAGAGGGACTGCACCCTCAGGGGAAAGTGTTTGAGAACTCCCGTCTGTCGGGGAAGTCAAAGTGACGCGAAGAGCCAGCGCTTTCGCCCAGCGCTTCTCCTTTTCCCGGGAACCGGAACCGAGGACGGCTCCAAGGCAGGCCCCCCGAGAACATGCAGACAGGGCCCACACACCGCCTCTCACACACAGACACGGGGCTTCCCAGCCGTCGGGAGCCGGGGGCTTGGCTGGCTCCCGAGGTCGGGTCAGAAGACGGACAGCTTCTCACCCAGCGCGCAAGGCAGCAACTGTTAATGCCTCTGGACAGCATCTGTGTCTCGTTCCTCACCAGAGGTAGCTCGGCTGGTCCGAACTCTGTCCTACGGATCGTTCTGGGTCTGGCGAGCTAACACCTCTTTGGTCTGAGTAAACACACGGGTTTTAGGCGATGCAGCAAGAAACTTTAGCGAAGGCCGGTTAAAGCACAGAAAGCCCATGAAACCAGAAATAAATCCAGATGAGCTGGGGAGGAAGAGAACCATTTGTACCGAGACTTCTGATGGGTGAAACACAGGCGGGCAGCTGGGGGGGCTGGGTGGGGTACGGGAGGGAGGGAGGGAGGGAGGTATGATCCGAGTTCTGGAAAGTCCTCTCTCTTCATCGGTTACCATCGTCACCCAAGATCAGAGAAGCAGGGACTTGCCCAAGCGACCCGTGCCAGTCCGCCCTGCCTCGGGCCCCGCCAGCCACGAGCTGCGCCTCCGCGGCAAGGCAGGCGTGCCCAGAGGTGCCACAGCATCTCTGCTCGACCCGGTCTTGGGAACACCGCAGACACTCCCGCCGGCCTGCCCCCTGCAGGCCGGCCAGCCCTGAGCCCGGACACCGCACGCCGTGTCCCCGTAAGGCACTGAAGAAGCCGGCCGGAGCCCTCAGGACCGGAAGACGTGCACGGCTCGGACCACGTACTGCCGGCAGATGGGGCACTCGTTCATGCGCTTGCCGCACTTGGTGCAGGTGACCATGTGGCCGCACTCCAGCAGGACGCAGTCGATGGGCGAGTCCATGCAGATCCTGCACAGGTTCTCCTCCAGGCCGGGCGGCGCCGCTCCCCCTGCGCACACACACACGGGCAGAAGGGGGCAGAGTAAGGGCGCGGGGGTGGGAGAGAGCCGGGACACGGTGCGCGAGCCCCCCGACCCACACGCTGCCCCCTCCACCAGCGCTCCGAGAAAACGTCCCCCGGAACCAGCTCCAGGTGCTGCTTTAACCTGCGCCTCTACAGGTTGGGTTACGGACTTGGAGGGTCAAGTGCCTGTAGAACAAACACGTCCCAGAGCACCAGAGCTAAATAAGGGGGAGTCTTCATGCGAAGCTTAAAAGGAGTAATTTTCAGACAATTGACGCTGTAATGTGTTGAGTGAGCGGCACTTAGGGACTCATTATCCCTGGAGGTAGAACACGCTGAGAAGATGCGAGAGGGTCAGAGAAGTTGAGACATCAAGGGAACCGTAATGAGTGACTACGGGCTGCCGGGCTCACCTGCGAACCTGACCCCGATTTAACAAGGCCCCGGATCGGGGGCCTCCGCGGCTGCCTCAGGAACGTCCCGGTGGGAGAGCCCACCAGACCCTGTGAGCTCCCTCTTCTGTGCTGCCCCCCAGAAACCGTACCCGTGGCCCACGCCTGCTCACCACGCTGGGGGGCACTTTCTGAGTTTGCCTTCTTATCCCCCCACTATACTAGGAGTTCTTGAATTCCACAGACCCATGCCACTTCTACAATGACATACGTAGTGTCCGCTACGTGCCCCGAGGTGAGAGATTCACCGTGGAGCCCCTGGAACACCGGCCACGTGGGGGCTGCTCTCTGACCGGCCAGTGAGTGTGCACCCCATGGGCACGGCGGCAGCTCGCAGGCACCCGGCGGGGTCCTCAGAGCCCCCCGTGTTTGCACTCACCAAATCCTCACAAGAACTATGTGTGAATCACCTACTCTCACTACCCATTTTACAGATGAGGCGACCGAGGCCGAAGAGTTGCCTACGGCACACGGCTGCCAAGTGGAGAAGCCAGGAGGCGAATCCAGGCAGGGGCTCTCTGGGGACTGCCCGGATGGCGTTCACCGCTCAGAGCACGGAGTTCCTACTGACAGCCCGCCGCCTTGTCTGAGCGGCGAGAAGCGGCGGGCCTGGCCAGTGCCCGAGTTTGGCTACACAAACGGAAACACGTTCGTGTCCAAAAACCCAGCCCCCTGAGCCAGCACGTCTTCAGTGGAAGCCCGAACCAGGTGGCCAGCACGGGGGCCTGGACTACTCCGGCCCCCACGGCCGCCCCACAGGGGAGCTCCCTGCACTCCGCAGCCCGTCCTCTTCCTATGTCCTGGACTCTGGACCATTCGAACGTCGGGAAACCCTGCAGGTGGGCTGGCTGCGAAAGGTCCTGAGGCCTGCACCCCCCGGAGGGGCTGCCGGCCCCAACGGGGGAGGTTCGGGGAGGGCTGGACTATACGAATACCCCAAGTGGGCAGGAATAATGGACAGAATTTCATTAATGATTACTTCTCCCAGGAACAGTCACCGACTCAGGTGCCAGCATCTCCAGGGGAATGAGAAAAAGGAAGGACGACACTGAGGAGACCAGTGCGAGCTCAGCACCACGGCGAGGGGGCGGACAGAGAACTCCGGGGGGCTTGGGGGGAGGGGTGAAGAGAACTCGACTCCTGATCATCTGTCTGTCAGCCAGGAGAGTCCATCCCATTCGGAGCAAAAAGGCTAGTTTACTAAGTAACAAATTTGGAGAGTCTTCTCAAAGCTGTAAAATGCTGGGCGGGCCCCTGCACGCCTCTGAGAGGGTTCCCTTCTGAGGACGAGCTCCAACCACAGAGCCCTCTGACTGACGCTTTCCCGGAGGTCGGGCCCAGCACCTGGGAAAGAGGCCCAGACCGGGCCAGAGTCCTGCAGTGCTTTCTGGGCGCTCCCAAAGGCTCGGGGCGGTCTCCAGCACACGGGGGGCAGGCAGCATGGCAGCTGAGGGGGGCTATGCATCTTGCCTAGAGACCTAGAGAGCACCGTGTGGGACACCTGTCCCGATCTGTCCCCAGAGCAGCTCCAGCCAAGGCCCGGCCTTGTACCGACAAGGCCCTCCCTGTCCGGTCGGTACCAGGAGCCCGGAAGGCGTGCGGAGCCCGGACCCGAGTGAAAACTGCAGGGGAAGGAGTGCCCTGGCACCGGGAGCACGGAGAGGAACCCGGCGGGACACGCGCACCACGCGCTCGGTTACACGCTTCACGCGGGCCGGCTCCTGCGCCCGGGCGGCCCGGGGAAGGGCCCCTCAGTCTGGCCCGGGTGTGCCGCCCCTTCCCTCCCTTCGCAGGCCGGGACGGCGAGAATTTCTAAAGATGCCGAGAGGCCCCGCTCCTCCGGGAGTCCCCCCACTCCCTCTGTGCCGGTGCTGACACGCTCCGAAGCCTCAGCCTCTCAGCAGGAACTGGGGCTGAAGGGGGGAGGGACAGAAAGGCCGAGCGCCTGAGCCCCTTCCCAACAGAGACAACCACGTACCGTTCTGGTCTTCGGCCCCGCACACTGCAGAGGAAGGAGAGAAGAGATGTCTGAATCTGCAAGCAGAGCCCCAGCCACCCTGACTCCGTCGCCAGCCTCCGGCTGTCTCCCTGCTGGGCCCCGGATGGCCGAGGGCGCCCCGACAAACACCTGCGCTCCTCACTCCCCGCCCCCATGCTGCAAACCCACAGAAAGCTCCCGCTGGGGGGTCTGGGGGGGTCGTAGAAAAGGGATCCCACTGGTTTGGACGGTCAAAGCTACCAAGCGGGAAGGACACTGCGCCCAGCACCCTCAGGCTAGCGCGCCAGCGGAGAAAGAAGGAACCGCGTTCCAGCAGCCGGGGCGTCTGGACGCAGCTCCCGGGTGGGGCCGTCTCCTACTCCCTGTGCACTCACAACGCCGGGGACACTCTGGGACGACCCCAAAGGGAGGAGTGAGTCTGACCAGGTGACCGGTCAGAGGTCCCCTACGTGATGAATCTGAGCGACAGGGAGGGCAGAGCCTGACGCCTGCTGTCGGCACGGGAGGGATCTAAGTGTTGGTCTGCGGGAAGGAAATCAGCCGGGGAGGGGAAGGGAAGGGGAGGGTGGGGAAGGGCGGGGGAGGGAGGGGGAGGGAGGGGGAGGGAGGGGGAGGGGGGGGAGGGCTCTAAGGGAAATCATTTCTGGGAACTCGGAGTTCCAAACAGCTAAACGCCCTTCTCTCCTGCAGGACTCCCCGCCTTCACTGGCGCAGCATCTGCCAGGGATCAGTCGCAGGGGGACTCATCTGACCACGGGCCCAGGTCCCTGGCCGGGCACCACGTGACAGCGACATCACGGAGGGGGCTGCAGGGAGGGAAGAGCGGAGAGGCCCAGGCGCCGCCCAACAGACGCTCTCCTCGCATGGAGCGTGCGAAGGCTCGCTCCCTCACCCCCCGACTGTCCAGGCAGTCCTGTCGGGGGCCGTGGCGGGCACGGTGGAGGTGCCGCACAATGGGCAAGGCCACGGACTCAGACCCGGAGCCCCTCAGCTCTGGGCTCTGTAACAGAAGGGACGCGCATCGCGCCTACTGCACGGGCCGCTCTGAGGACCCAACAGAAGCACGCGCTGCCGGGCCCGGCCCTGGCCCTGGCCCTCGGCTCCGAGTGACGCGGTGACCGGGTGGCGCGGAGGCCACAAGGGAGGACGCCACCCTCCCTTGAAGACGCCGTCCCGCCGCAGAGCGAGAGCGCGCACTCCGGGGGTCCGTGCGGCTGCCGCCCCGACGGCCCCTCACCCAGGTGCTGGAGGTCTCGCTGGTCCTTGTACAGCCGAGTCACCCTCTCCATCAGCTCCCACTTCTCGCAGCAGCCCTTGTAGTTGACGAAGTTGCGAGCCAGGATCTCCTTCAGCTGCCGCACAGTCAGGCCCTCGATGTCCTCCAGGTCCGTCAGGTCAGACAGAGACGCCCTCCGGCCCGGGACGGAGCTGTCCTCGGAGTCCATGGACTGGGAAGGCAAAGACAAGACCAGGGGTTCAGCCCAGAACTCCCCACGCTCTCTCTCAGAGGACCCCAAAGTGCTCAGCACCCCATACTTCTGGTGACTGGCCTCAAGGGCAGGGACGGAGGCAGGGGGTCCCTGGCGTGGTGCTCGGCACTGCAAACGGACCCCGGTCTCTTCCCAGCCCGGGTCCTGCGCTCGGGCAGGCACAGCCGGCCACAAGCCCAGCAGCAGTGCAAGGGAAGGAGCACCGGCTGGAGCTGGATGCCCCTGATCCTGACTCCCAGCTGCTCCGCGGATTCACGCTCAGGAGTGCGGGGCCGGCCGCCCCCTGCTCCCAGCCGTCTGCCCCTCCGCGGAGGAGAGGCAGCAGCCCCGGCACACAGGGCCCGTGAGGGCTCACGGGGCCGCACGAGGACCCGCAAGCTGCTGCTGGCCTCCCTCTCCCCGGTGCGGAGCTCTGCCTTCCCACGAAGGGGGGGACTTCCGGGCATGCCCCCCTCTGCAGGCAACCTTGACCACACTGGACTGGCCCCGCCGCGAGCAGCGGCAGAACCGCGAGGCTCGCACGGCGGCACCAGGCGCCTGGGCTCAGGCCGCTCTCAGCAAGTCTAGAGACCGGGCACTACGGGCCACGAGGCACCCCCGTCGGCACTGTGACCTCCCGACTCCACACGGACGCACTAACAGCTTCGAAGAAGCTCTAACGCTGAACTCCCCGCGGACGGTCGTCACAGACTGGGCCTCTCTCTCTCTCTCCAGAGCCTGTTGGGAGGTTCCTAACAGAAGCCCAAGAGCGCCAGTGAAAGGGTCAAGGCAAAGGCACAGACCCGAAGGGGCCCCACCTGGGTCTCGTCCTCAGCGGGCGCTCCGGCGGCGCTCTCCGGGTAGACGGGCTCTCCTGGGTCCTGAGACGCGTGGCCATTGGCCTGCGGGAAGAGAAGGCGCCGTCACACCCGGAAACGTCCCGGCGGTCTGCACAGCGCTGGCCCCTTCCGAGCGCGCGCCACGTCCCCGGTGGACTCCCACCTCCCCCAGCAGGCTGGAGTCGGGCGCAACAGCGGGACAGAGGCCGGCTCTCCGACACCGACTCTGTCGGGCAGAGGAGCGAGCGGCAGGGGCAGATCTTGGCTCCACCGCCAGGGTGCATCCGCGCTGCCGCCCTCGCCCTCCGGGGTGGATCAGCTCGCTCCCGTCTGTGCACTCAGTCAGCCCCAACACCCCACAGGACAGGGAGGTCACAGCCCACAGGACAGGGAGGTCACAGCCCACAGGACAGGGAGGTCACAGCCCACAGGACAGGGAGGTCACGCGTCCACGGCAGGAGACTCCTCTCCATCACTGAATTCCCTCCCCCCCCCCCCGCCCCCCGCCACACTCACCCCAAGCTGCCCTTCCTACAACTCCCACCCACCACCGTCCTCGGTCCCACCCCTTGGACCAACACCCACTATTTCCCTCCGAACTGCTCGCAGCACGCCCTCCCTGCCTCCACACTGCACCTCCCTAGCTTCCTCACCTGGCCCGGCTGAGACGGCGTTGCCAGTCCCTCACTGCCCCATCCCCTCTCGGGCCTGTCACTGCTCTCGTCCCGGAGATGTGCCCAGCCGGCAGGGCACACTCTTAGTAAGAGCCGTCTTACAACCTGGCCCAAAATTTATTTTAGAGCATCTAAGGGTCTACTAGCCTCAGATGACATAAGACAAATAAATGCCTGTGCTCTTTTTGCTTAGAATTCTACCTTCTCAAAAGGTTCCTCCCAGGCACGTACTCCTGCAGGTTTTGCCAAGGAGCGCTCAGAACTAGGAGTCTCCTTAACTAGATCCTCCCCACCCACTACTCCTTCAAGGCCAAGGGCCTCCTGTGAGCCCGGGGCAGGGAGCTAGCTGAGCTCACAGGCCTTTGCCAGGAGCATCTGGACGCGCCAGTGAAGGGACAACCTAGGAAACCAGTCGCCCACTGGCCCAGCCCCTGCTCCCAGATGAGGGTACGTATATGCAGTTCATTAAGGAGAGACAAGCGGCTACAGTGCAAATGAAACGTAGAAATAGCCACCACCCAGAAACGCCAAGGGAGACCAAGATCACACGTGTGGCACAACAGGTACCGGGGGGCACCCAAAATAATGTCTTCAGAAACACCTCCAGGTTCCCCTTAGCCTTATGCAGGTGCGGTGCAGACTGGGAGTCTCAGAGACCTTTCAGAGCCCAACCTGCTGCTTCCAGACAGACGGCTTCCATACATCCTTTCTTTCTTAGAAAGAGAAACTGGATCTCATGCAACACAGCATGCTGCCTTGGCCGGCCGGCTAAATCAGATTCTACAACCGGAGTCTGCCCACAGTTTTGCTTACTCTGCACACAGACCCCCTCCCCCGGCAGCCAGGGCACCGCAGGTGGAGCATGGAGCCCTGGCAGAGCCGGCCCTGCGAGAAGACTCGCGTTCCGGGGGCGGCTCGCCCGGGGATCTGGCAGGTGGCCTTGCACGAGTTACTGAATTAGCTCCCCCACTAACTCTGTTTTTCTGGCCTGCAGCACGTAGACCTCACGAGAACAGGGGACGCCGGGGGACCTGAAGGCCCTCTGAGAGCAGCGGCGGTCAGAGGCGGACCCGACCGGATCCAGCGGGGCTGCGACCTGCAGGTGCGACCTGAGCGCTTCCGGTCCACGACAGGGAGCTTAACACCTGCTGCTTTCATTGAAACCCACCTGGAGGTTCTTCAGGGAAAAGCAACTTCCTCAAGTTAGCCTCCTAGGTCCCCACCAACAGAGAGGAGCGCCCAACCAAGCAGAGGGAGGAGGTCCCAGCGGGAGGAGGAACCTGTCCGGCAGACAGAGGCGGAGCTCAGGCCAGGGTTGCACTCCGGTGGGGCGAAGGCACGCTCGCGGCTGCACGGGGGGACACGCGCTTCCTGCAGGTGCGGCGGGCTGCCACACTGGCCTGAGGCCCCGGGGCCCACCACAGCCCATCGGGGGCCGGTCCTGGGGAAGGAGGCAACACCGACAAGGGGCGGCTACCGTCCGCGTCCGTGGGCACCGCCGTGCCCGGCGTGAGCGCAGCACCAGCCCCAGGTGGCTCGGAGCTCCTCGGACCTGACCTGACGTCACACCTGCCACCCTCCCCACATCCTGGCGAGGACGAGAGTGGCCTGGGCTCCCGAACCCCGCTTCAGCGGCGAGGGCTTGCGGTCCCCCCGGGGTGACCGGGAGCCAGTGACAAAGCGAATGTGGAACCTGGGTGCACCTTCTGGGTCCTCGGCCCGACTAAGGCGCTTCCGTACGCATGCCTACAGGACCCCACCGCCCCTCACACAGTGCTCACGTCCCCGCCCCCCACTCCCATCCCTCAGCAGGTGTGCGCGTCTACCTTCCCCCCCGCCCGGGCTTTCTGAGGGCGGGGCTGTGGCTCCCTCACCCGGCCCTGCCCGTGCCTGGGGCGCAGTCCGGTCGGTGTGCTGCTCGCGGCTGACCCCTCCAGGCCCCACTGGGACGGCCACAGGCAGCTGACTGTGCAGCGCCGGGCCGACCGCTGCCCTGCCCGGGGCCTGGCGGGGGAGCAGTGTCCATCCCTGTCTTGACCACTGTGCTTCCCTACTCGCCCTTCCCGCTGCGTGCTACTTCTCGCCCTACGTGCCCTGGGGTGGTTACTGAGGGACCGCGGTCCCCGCCCAGCTGAGACAGACCACAACGAAGGTGAGCGAGTGGGAGGGCAATGTGAACAGAACTGAACCTGGAGAGTTCACTGAGTTTTCTCTACATATTTCTGGGCCCTGACTGGTGTGACTCAGTTGGTCGGGCGTCACCCAGCAGCGCAGAAGGTCGCTGGTTCGATTCCCGGTCAGGGCACAAGCCTGGGTTGCGGGTTCATTTCAGGTTGGGCCACTTGTGAGAGACAACCCATCGATGTTTCCCTTTCTCTCTTTCTCCCTCCCTTCCCCTCTCTCCAGAAATAAATAAAATCTTTGAAAAAGATATTTCTGGAACAACAAAATTAAATTTTAAATGCCTGACCGGGATACGTATGTATGGAACACAAACAGAGCCCGGGCCGGTGGCCCAGTTGCTGGAGCGGTGTCCCGGCACCAGAGAAAAGGGGGCGGGTTCAAACCCCGGTCAGGGCGCACACAGGAGGCAACCGACCCGTGTTTCTCTCTCACATCGAGGTCTCTCTCCTTCCCCCGGCCCCTGTCTCCCCATTCCCCTCTCTCTCTCTAAAATCAATAAACATATCCCGAGGTGAGGATTTTAAAAAGCACAAAAAAACCCTGGTACCCTGCGTTGTCATCTCTGAAAAACGCCCAGACCCGAGGGTGATGTCGGGGAAATAATTGCTTGTGCACAAACGTAAGACACCGATGCTTGCAACCCACGCCTGCAACCCACACCCACAGCGCAGGCGCGGGGGACGAGCCCACAACCACCCGGCAGAGACCGTGCGGGGACCGTACCTGCCGATTCTCCTGAGCGGGGGCCGCGGGAGCGGACGCGGCCTGCGTGGGCGGAGCAGGGGAGCCGGCCGAGGTGGCTGAGGTAGGCGGCGCGGCGCTGGAGTGGGGCTGCGGGCCCAGGAAGGCCTGCTGCTCGGGGGAGCCCGAGGCGGGGAAGGCAGGGGCGCGAGTCCTGCCCTCCTGGGGGGCCGCGGGCTGCTGGCCCAGCACCAGGAACACGAGCTCCTCCTTCTCCCGGCATGTCTCCGTGGAGATGTCGTGGAGGTCGAGGTAGTCCCTCAGGTCCTTCACCTTCATCTTCATGAGCTCCTCCCGCTGGAAGGCCGTGGCTTGGAACCGCTGGCAGAGAAGGCAGAGGCGGGGCCCGTTCCCCACTTGGCTCAAACAGGTGGCGCAGAAGTTCTTCTTGCAGTCCAGGCAGGTCTGCTGCGCGGGGCGAGAGGCAGAGGAAGCCACGTGAGGCCGAGAGAACACGGCGGAGCGGCTGGGAGCGCGGGGCTGCCGAGCCTGGTGAGAACCCCCCGCCGCTCCTGGACCAGCCCCCTCCTGGCCGGAGGATGCAGGCCAGTCCGCAGACTGCACTCGGAGGGGGCGGGCCCTCTGGGGGTCCCTGCTCCGGACACGCCACTTCTCGTCCCAAAGGAGGTTGCGTTTCTCTCACCGACAGAGAGATGGAGGCCGTGAACTAAGACTCCCAGGCTTACAATAAAAAGTCCCCACGTGCCCTGGCTGGCGTAGCTCAGTGGATTGAGCTCAGGCTGCGAACCAGGCATCGCAGGTTCGATTCCCAGTCAGGGCACATGCCTGGGTTGCAGGCCACAGCCCCCAACAACCACACATTGATGTTTCTCTCTCTCTCTCTCCCCCCCTTCCCTCTCTAAAAATAAATAAATAAAAATCTTTTTTTAAAAAAGTCCCCACGTTTTCATCGTCTCCCTCCTCCATTTCTTGTGTCGTCACCTTGGGGTGTACCCTAGCCTCCGGTTTCCTCATCTGTACAACGGGGCTGATAACAGTGTCCACCCTCGTAGGGTTGTCGTGGAGAGACGGTGCATTTGGCATATGTCTGACACAGGAACCCCCCCACCCCCCGCCGCCCACGGCGAGTGTAACGGTTCTGGTCCCTGTGGCTGGCAAACGCGAGCTGGTGGGAGAGGCAGGACCCCCGTCGGGGACCGTGGCTCCGCCCTGCACTGCTGCCGTGAGAAGGCAAACACGCAGAGGCTGTGGTGGCGGCTGCGGTTAGGGTTAACTAAATTTACCGAGGGGCCGCTGTGGGCTGGAGCGATACCTAGCTTGTCCTTTTCTTTTTAAGATTTTATGTATTTATTTTTAGAAAGAGGAGAAGGGAGGGAGAAAGAGAGAGAAAGAAACAAGAGGAACATGGACCGACTGCCTCTCGCACACCCCCAACTGGGGACCTGGCCCACCACCCAGGCATGTGCCCTGACTGGGAATTGAACCAGCGACCTTTCCATTTGCAGGCCAGTGATAGGTCCACTGAGCCGCACATTCAGGGGTGGGGAAGAGCACATCCAAGAACATTCAGAGAGCTGCAGCAGGCCCCCCGAGCACAGTGTCGGGAGCTCCCGTTTGTCCCGTTTGTGGGAGCGCTGAGAGTGTCTCAGAGGGCAGGCACAGGGGCCTGGCCGGCGGCTGGCACCGCCAGGCCCCGGCAACACCCACTTCTGCAGATGACACAGCACATGATGCCTTTGTCTTCCAAAGATTTTTATTTACTTTTAGAGAGAGGGGAAGGGAGGGAGGAAGAGTGGGAGAGACACATCAATGTGAGAGAGAAGCTTCTATCGGCTGCCTCTCGCACGCCCCCAACCAGGGGCACCTGGCCCACAACCCCGGCACGTGCCCTGGCCTGGATCGAACTGGCAGCCACCACCGCCCCAGCCACCAAGCCACACCGGTCAGGGCACGACACGCGACGTCTTGCTCAACTCACAGGAAGCAGCCCTCAGCCTCCTGCCGCATGGGCTGAGCGAGCACAGTGACGCCCGGCTGCGCCTGCTGCAGCCAGAGCAGGTCACACTCCCACAAGAGAGGTAACGCCTGGGGACACTCTGGCATGACCCTGGAAGGCGCTCTCACTAACCGTCTAAAGAGACAGAAAACTCTTCCTCCTACGGTGACTTAGGTATTGACCTAAACAATCTCTGCTCCCTTGTTTCTAAGCACAGAAGCTACTCAAGCCAACGAGACTGCCGGCGAGACTCGGGCTCTCGCCGTCAGAACCACGGACCCTGGTGCCGGGCGGAACGCAAGTCTGTGTCGCCTCACTGGTTGTACTCGGTTCCGCCCTAGTGTCATGCACTCACTCGGGAAAGGGGCGCAGGCACGGTGCCCCCACCGGACCTCGACACCGAGCACTCAGAGAGCACTGAGGAGGACGCACGCCCAGCCCCTCGCTCTGCAGAGCTGCGACCACGCAGTGAAACACTCGGGGGCTGCCTCCCAAGCACACACAGCTGCACCGCGCCGCCATGGCCCTGGGGCCGAGTGCCACTCACCCCACTCAGGTGGGAAACGGGTGTTCGGGGCCTGGGGGCTCATTCACACCTGAAGCCTTTCTGTTGGACAATAAAATCGTTTAGGGGGACTGCTAGTGACATGAGGAGGCACCAGGGTCACACGGTAGCACTGCGGGCCCGGACAGGGACCGACCGTCGCTTAGCCAGCACCGTCTGACAAGGCCTTGGACAATTAAAAACCTCTGAGTCGCTCCGTCAGCCGGAGCGCAACAACGCCCTGCTCTTCCTTCCAGCGCATGTGGTTTGCTGGGTGCGAGATCGGAATGCAGAGACGGCACCCCAGCTCCCACGCCCCCCGCCCCCCGGCAGGGGCTCTGAAGTCAGCCTGCACCTGAGCCGCATCTCAAGGGGAAAGGCAGGGCCCGAGGCTCAGCCCCAGCCTGCAGAGGCAGGAGGGAACAAAGGAAACGGAGGACCGCGGCCGACAGCCAGCAAACGTGGGCAGAATGCGCCAAGGAGCCCTGCACGCACAGACTAGCAATCGGCGCAGACCGGCTGAGCAACAAGGCGGCGTGGGCGGTGGCGAGTCAGCGGCTGGGAGCGCACACACGCGCCCGGCATCAGAACAGCTGGCAGCGGCAGCTCCCCTGCCCTCCCCTGCCCTCCCCTGCCCTCCAATCCCGGCTCTGGCTCTGCCGTTTGGTAGCCCCGTGCCCGGGAGGGGCTGCCTGAGGACAGGAGCCAGAGTGAGTGTTTCAGCGCCTCTCGTGCTGTCTGTCAGGAACTCGGCACCTACAGTTTCCTTTTAACTATTACACTCTAACCCTTCGTCTCCCATAAAGTGGGAGCGCGGGAACTCTAAAACCTGCATCACAGGGTTACTGTGAGGAGGAAATGGAACAAATCTAAACGGCTTACAACAGTCCCTGGCCTATAGCAGAGGGTGTAAAAATGATTTTCTTTCCTCCCAAATTTCCCGCCATCACCACTCTAACGCCGCAGGCCGGGCCTCGGACCACTCCTCCTCCAGAAGAGCGCAGGAGGCAGGAGTTCCTCTCCGGGTCTCGGTGCCTGGCTGGAGAGCTCGCTGCCTCTGGGAGCTGACGGGGCGGAGGGGCCCCGCACCCTCCAGCAGCACCCCGCCAGGAAGCTGCCTTCCTGCCCGCTAATCAGGGAAGCACGGCCCCCACAGTGCGTGAGCTCCAGTCTGCAGTGCTAGGGTCCTCACGGACCCGAGACGTCCTTGACGCCGCTGCCGACAAACGAACCAGGTAATCAATCCACAGTCGGCCCTCCTGGCTGCAGCGGGCGCAGTCGGTACCACAGAGGGCGCCACACCACGGGCGCTGCCCCGGCCCCCTGCGGCTCGCCTCCTTTTCCATTCTCACCGCGCCCGCGAGAGGGGCCCGGCTACCACAGCCCACTTCATAAGCAGGAAGGCCAATGTCAAGAAAGGCTCCGTCACACGGCCAGGAAGTGGCACAGCTGGTGTCTAAACTCGGGTCTAGCGGGCCCCAAACCTGTGCCGAGATGCTCTGACTTCGCGTGGTCAGTCTTTCCTTCACTGCTGCTGGGAAAGGGACGGCCCGGGTTACAGGCGTTGCCGAAGCAACGGCAGGGCAGGGGGCAGAACAGGAAGGCGAGGGAGGGGCCCGAGGGCCTGCGCTTGCAACACTTACCTTCCTGGCCATGTTTGCGAAGTGGGCCCCACAGGCCTTGCAGCTCGGTTCTGCGCCTGTTGGAGAAGGGAAGGAGCTGTACCCGGGGTTGGAATAGGCCTGCGCCCGGGCCCCCTGGGGCGGCGGGGCCTCCTCAGGCTGTCCGTCCAGGCAGAACCAGTTGCAGCAGGTTGCCCACATGATAAAATCTGGTGAAAGGGAGGAGAGGAAGAAGGGTCAGAGCGAAGACATACCCCTACTGCGCGCCCACTCCTGAGGGCACAGGTGCTCGCGGGGACGTGCAAACCCCTCCCGCCTCCCCCGTTGGGGTGGGGACGTCCAGGTGGGGACTTGCTGGGCCTCAGCTTTCCCACCACGTCCTCCACCACCACGGCCGCCTCTGCACACAGGAGGGGGCTGTAGGTGGCCCGGGCTGCCGAGTGGGCGCCCTGCCTTTGAGAGGCTGCCCATCCCTGTCTGGGCTCGACCTGAAGTCTAACTTCAAATACAACCTTTCGCAAGGGGCCTAACCTCCACTTCATTCAGAAACAGGACCTGGTCCCTAGAGCTCAGACACGGAACTGGATCATGCACGCACGCACACACACACACACACACACACTGCGTCATTCCACACGCACACCGACCACGCGATGTGGTATTCTTATGTCCTGTGCACAGGTGAGGCAACCCTGGCTCAAAGCCAGTCCAGGTCACACAGCTCATATGATACAAAAAACTGAGATCTGGAAGAAAAACTCCAGTCTCCTGAGTCTACACCTAACGCTCTTTCCCCTACACCACGCTGGTGGCCATGCCCCAGCCCGGTGTCCCGCCCACCAGCCAACAGAGCCAGCTGCCCCTGCGTTTGCACCGGCAGCCCTCCGTGAACCCTCGTCACAGCGCCTCCGACAGCTGGCCGCGCCGGCGCGCTCACCCACTGCTTCCCACCACTGACCCGCGAAATCCCCGAGGGCAGCGACCACGTCGCACTCACGCCCGCCCCTGACCTAGCAGTGTCCTGCACAGAGCAGATGCCCAACAGATAACATTCAGCGTGCTTGCTGAATCGGTGCTTCTGTGAGTTTATCACAAAGTTTGGGATCATTGTTCCCGTTTTACACACCAAATACAAGTACCGGGGACAAGGGGACTGATGACTTTTTTTTTTTAAGATTTTATTTATTTATTTTTAGAGAGGGAAGGGAGGGAGAAAGAAAGAGAGAGAAGAAACATCAATGTGCGGTTGCTGGGGGCCGTGGCCTGCAACCTAGGCTTGTGCCCTGACTGGGGAATCGAACCTGCGATGCCTGGTTCGCAGACCGGACTTGTTATTTTAAAGATTTTATTTATTTATTTTTAGAGACAGGGAAGGGAAGGAGAGAAACAGCAATGTGTGGTTGCCTCTTGCACGCCCCCTACTGGGGACCTGGCCCGCAACCCAGGCATGTGCCCTGACTGGGAGTCGAACCAAGGACCCTTTTGTTTGCAGCCAGTGCTTAACCCACTGAGCTACACCAGCCAGAGCTGACTTTTTAAAATCACAAAACAAAGAGGAGCTAATCTTTCAAGTGTCAGAATAACCTAAAGATTGCAAGACAGCCCACCAAAATGCCAAACACTGCTGCGACAAAGGAAGAGTGTGCTTTTTCAGCACACCGAGGCGGTCAGTGTGGACATTCTGAGCCCGAACTTTCTGTTCACAGAGATAACAAATGGAACACTTAGTGTTCATTACTCTATAATCAGGTCACACAAAAGAAGGATACTTTCTGCTGCTCTGCCCCCTGACTTGTTGAAAGTGCCTTTGTTAAATCGCAGTTCAAAGACGTGATAAGCTTGAAGAAACAAAGAAGCCAAGAGTTTCAACCTTGACCATTTTATAAATGGAAAAAAAAAAAAAGGAGGCCTAGCAGAGAGAGGAACTTTCTGGCTCACACAGGTATAACCTAGGGCTCCAACTACTCTAGGGCCTTTTTCGCTTCCCAGCACTGCCTCCGTGCACCTGTGATACAACCCATTCGCTTCTGTAGAGAAGTCCAATTAACACCTGCCTCCCCCACATGTGCCTGTGACCCCCCCGGAGAACAGGGACCACGACAGTCATACAGTACCCAGCAGGCAGGTGGCACAGTAAGGACTAGTGAATGAATGAATCACATACAATGTTTAAATCTTAACTAAGCACACATCTGTTCCATTTCCAGCACAAAAACATTTCTTGCCCTGCCAGGTGTGGCTCAGTGGATTAAGTGCCAGCCTGCAAACTGAAAGGTCGCCAGTTCGATTCCCAGTCAGGGCACAATGCCTGGGCCGTGGGCCAGGTCCCAGGTTGGGGGCGTGTGAGGGGCAACTGATCAATGCATTAGTCACACAGCAATATTTCTCTCCCTCTCTTTCTCCTTCACTTCCCCTCTCTCGAAAAATAAATAAAATCTTAAAAAAAAATTGCTCTCTGACTATCTCTTGACTGAAGACTCTGAGTTTCCAGAAGACAGGGGTATATAACCGGCCTTACTTGCAATCCGCAGTTCGCATGCAATGACAGAGGAAAGAGCAGTCAGTTATTGAACGAGTTCTCTCTTGGTGAGAGCAGGGTGACAACAGTGGAGCACGGCCCGCCGAAGGAGCGATTGGTTCTGCAGTTCTTGGAAGCATCTGCCGACACGAGCACCTGGAACGGTGTGTGACAACACAACGACCACAGGGTCCGGGTGAAACGGCCCCCAGGCCCTGTTTTACTACCTACGGGTCACGTTACCCACGCCTACCGAGTCGTAACCTTTCCGCACTTCATCCCCCTCCCCTGGGCCTTCCCTGGCTGTGAGGCAGTGAAGAAACACTAGTTGTTGCTACCTGCATAATACCACTACCCTCAGTGCAGTTCCTCTGGGAGTGCACAGGCAAAAAGCAAAACTAGGCACTTCACCGCAATTCCCATCTGGCTTTCTGCGTTTGTCCCAAGATCTCTGCCGGAATTAGCAGTCTGTGTCGACGAACCGAAGAGGTGGGAGGAAAGGAGGAAGAAAACAGTCTTGGATAAATCCCGGGGTCTCTGGCGTACACCACAAAACAGACCATGGGATCAGTAAGCGGGATGACGCCCCCAGGAGCAGGCGTGCGTGTGTGTGTGTGTGTGTGTGCCCGTGTGAAGGCGGGGCACGGGCTAAGATGCCGAGCTGAGTTCAGTGCCTGCGGGAGGTGCTGACCGTGCACACGGCACATGGGGGTTTGGTCTCAGCTGGAGACGAAGGCTGGGGAATCTGCTCGGCCTTCTGCAAGTGGGTAAACGCAGAGTGGGGCAGAAGACTGACAGTCAGGTCAGAAGAGAGGCGGGTCCGGGAGACCCCTCGGGAAGACCTGACCTACAGGGCACGCAGGGGAAAGCAAACAAGCAGAACATAAAGAAAGATGCTCAAGCCCTGGCTGGCGTAGCTCAGTGGATTGAGCGCGGGCTGTAAACCAAAGTATCGCAGGTTCGATGCCTGGGTTGCAGGCCACGGCCCCCAGCAACTGCACATTGATGTTTTTCTCTCTCTCTTTCTCCCTCCCTTCCCTCTCTAAAAATAAATAAATAAAATCTTTAAAAACAAAAACTTCAAAAAAAAAAAAAAGAAAAAGAAAGATGCTCAGAGGTGGGAAGCTGAAAGAGGGTTAGGAGTTTCAAGAAATTATCCACACTATCCCATGACCCAGAGAGAACACAGTGAAAAATGGAAAATGCCCCATGGATCTAGTTTTAGGAAAACGTGGGTATGTTCTTTACTTTAGGAAAATAACCTTAAGTTGGAAAGTGAGTGAAAAGGGAGGACTTGCCAAGACTCTAAGGATAAAGTATTCCTTCAAGACACTTGAATGTGAATGGGAGAGAGAAGGCGGCGTCGGAGAGGACCCAGGTCACTGAACTGGAGAATGTGGACGTATGTAAAGACGGCGGGGGGAGCCCCAAAGACTGAGAGATTGCAGAGGAAGGAAGCCGGCAGTAAAGAACGGAGCGAGGGCCGGGACTAGGACGCAAAGCGACCCAGCATCAGAGCAAGTCCAGGAGGACCACCTCTGGGCGGCAGAAAGGTCGTCCCTCTCACCAGACGGTGGAACGGGGGTGAAGACAGATACAACCACAGACGAGCTTACAGCATCTGCAGAGAAACGTGAAAGAAGGAAATACAAAGGAAAGGGGGAGGCGTCTAACCGCAAGAAAAGAACAAACTTCTCTACATGCTGTGGTTGTTTCCTAAGAGGTAAGGCCTTGGCCGTAACAGGGAGCCCCTCCTGGTGAGGCACAAACGGTAGGAAGACCCTGGGACACTGGCCGGCTGTATGTCGTTTCAATTACTGTGCCCATTGCGCACTCGGAAAGCACTGGCCCAGCGCCAGGCGCCAAGGAGACGGAAAGCGGACCCGATGAGGTCCTGGCGCCCAGGGGGCTGTGGCCCAGTGAGGCGCTGCAGGCCGTCCCGACACGAAAGCAGGGGGTCCAGACGACGTGTCCTCCGAGGCTCTGCTTCCGATCTCTCAGCTGTGTTTCTCAGGGAGCCTGCCCCCCCCCCGGGGGGAGGGGAGCTCTGAAGGAAGAGCCCTTGGCCCGTCCCTTCAAGGAGTTGGCTGTTCCAGCCAGGACTGGGCTCTGGGAGAGGACCTGGGGTGTGCCACTCTGCAGAGAGTGTAGGACACACTCTGCTCTGTGTGCCCTACTCCGCAGGCCCCGTGCTCGGGGGAAGGACACTCGCATCCTGGGGACGCGTGTGCGCGGGGAAGGGGCCACCCTGGGAAGGGCCAGGTGGAAACATGCCCGCTGCTGAAATCCCTCGCACCTGCTCAGGCTGCACGGTGACCACAGTCCACAGACTCTGCGAGTACGTTTGAATACCAAAAGGAAGCATTATCCTAACGTGGTCAGTTAAAAGCATGCTCTGGCCAAACTGGAAAGCCCTAGGCCCACGTCATCGCTGTATCTGGGGGTTTTCAGGGAGTGAGAGGCACGCGTCTGCCACCCCGACATCGCTCCACCGACTTCACACTTTCCTCTCGGGAGCCTTTTTCATGGGGCAGACTCGCGCACCCGGCGCCGGGCAGGCCACCTGCAGGAACAGCAGCGGAACCAGCAGGGAGGGAGGCACGACGGATGCTCCCCGTGCTGACGGCTGTGAAAAACCCCCCTCTCTGACCCGCGCATTTCCTTCTGCTCCTGGGAGAACACGATCACATC